GTCCTACTTTGGTTTCAACCATTAAATTGAAAGGGGGAGTAAACCAAATGATCTTCCTAGATCTTAATTTCTTATTGTGGTCAGAATATACATTGTATTTGCTCTACTCTGTATTGAGCAGTATTTTAAGTAGAATATTTTTGGTTATTGTAATTTATTCCGTATACATTTATCCTATGCTTGGGTATATATATATATATATATATATATATATATATATATATATATATATATATATATAAGCAAATATATGGATATAGATCCGACAGTATGAATATGTCCTGAAGATGGTCTATTAGACCGAAACGTCCGACGTTGACATTATATTAACATTAAAACAGCATAATTGCATATTGGGATTTTTGTTTGTTTCTCCGTATATTTTTCTTCATATATATATATATATATATATATATATATATATATATATATATATATATTATATTTTTTCCTGAAGTACTCAGTTTTATGCATGTTAAATGTTCATTTAAAAGTATATAAAATAGACCATTTATTTATACATAAGAAAAGAATATGTCATGTATATATATATATACATATATAACTTTTTTTATATATCTTTTCTTAATGAACAAGTGCTCTATTTTATGCGTGTTTAAAAGTTAATTTAAAAGAATATAAAATAGACTACTCATTTATACATATGAGAAGAATGTATGACACACACAGACACACACACACACACACATATATATATGTATATATATATCATCCCAAGCAATGCGCTAAAACGGCTAAGGCGAAAGGGGTTGCTAAGTGTGAAAATAAATGAAAAAACGTTATTGACGAAAAAAGACAATAAATCAACTCGATTCAAAACGACCTAAGATGTCGATTGAAGTTATACTTAAATTTGTGAAGATCGTACTTTACAGGAAAGGAAAAATCAAGAAGAGAGTTCTTCAGTGATGAAGTGTGAGAGTAGAAACTATTAGCATAGGGCGGTTAATACTAGCTATTTTAATATGATATGACAAATGCCAATCTAGTGTTTTTTTTTTCTTTTTTATGTGCCATCTCCTTTCAGGACGTAGGCGATCATGGCTCTCCACCTCCTTCTATCCCTTTCAACTCTCAACAAGTTTCTTCCCTCTGATTTCTCCCGCAGGGCACGTTCTATCATGCAATTGCTTCTAATAGTTTATTTTCTCGCACTTCTCACTTGTAGAATCCTCTTCCGTTTTCTTGCTTCCCTGTCAAGAACAAACTTCAAAAATTTAAATTGGCGTCAATCGCCATCTTTTGCCTTAAATAAACAAAGTACTAATAAACTGAAAAAAATTGTTAGAAGTAAAGAAAAAATGTGTTGAAATGCGATGCAATATCTATCATCCAATATGTCTGCTTGCGGCCGCATCATGTTGAAACCCCGTTTCCCGTACGATCACCTAAGTTAAGCTAAACCGAGTCTGGTTAGTACCAAAGACGGGTGAACGCTTGGGAATATCAAGTGACGTAAGCTTATACATGCGAGTGGTGTAATGCAGGAATCGACAACTTACTACACGCGTGACACACCAGGGGCGCTATGCAATTTCCAATAGCACGCAGCCGCAAATGACATCATGAAGTCTGAACCAATAACTTACTTTTCTTTCTTTTTATGTGCAATGTCCTTTTAGGACGTAGGCGATCATTGCTCCCTACCTCCCTCTATCCCTTGTAGCGCTCAACAAGTCCCTTCCCTCTGCTAACTCCCTCAGACCACGTCCTGTCATCTACTTGCTTAAGCCCGCTAGGTATGTCATGCGTCGTTTTCCCTTGTTTTTTTGTTTTTTTACCTCTATTTGACCCGTCAGTATCAGATTGCCCAGGCCCTCCATCTTCATTATGTGTCCCAGAAAATTCAGCTGCCTCTTCCTAATGTTAAGTATAAGCCTCCTCCTTGTTTGCATCACCTCTAAGATCTCATCGTTGCTCACACGCTCGGTCCATGATATCCTTAGCATCCCTCTGTACAACCACATCTCTGTCGTCTCGAGTCTCTTCTTCATCTTGTGAATATCTATGCTGATGACAACTGTTTAATGATTTGCCTAAGAGTATCTTTTCTTTCTTTTTCTGTGCCATGTCTTTCAGGACGTAGGCGATCATGGTTCTCTACCCCCTCTATCCCTTGCAGCTCCCAACAAGTTAATTCCCTCTGCCACCTCCTGCCAAGACCACGTTCTGTCACCTACTTGCTTAAGTCCGCCAGATATGTCACGCGTTGTTTTCCCTTGTCTTTCTTTCCTTCTATTCGACCCGTGAGTATCAGATTCCCCGGGCCCTCTTTCCTCATTATATGTCCCAGAAACATCAGCTGCCTCTTCTTGATGTTTAATACGCTTAAATTCATGACGTCGGGGTATCAAAGAGGAAACCTCTGCAGAACAATGAACATAGCTATTTATAGAAAAGAGATGGTTTATCACCGATTTGTGAAGATCTTACTTTACACGAAAGGATGAATCCAGAAGAGAGTTCCTCAGTCGAGAAGTGCAGAAGTAGAATTTATAAGGATAGAACGGTTAAAACCAGCAATTTCAAAATGATGAGACCTAGCTGCCAATCAAGTTTTTCGTTTATGTGCCATGTCCTTTCAGGACGTCGGCGATCATGGCTCTCCATCTCCTTCTATCCCTTGCCGCTATTCCCTCTGATTCCTCCCCCAAACCACGTTCTTTCATCCACTTGCTTAAGTCCGCCAGGTATGTCATGCGTTGTTTTCCCTTGTCTTTCTTTCTCTCTATTCAAGCCGTGAGTATCAGATTCTCCAGGCTCTCCTTCCTTCTTTCTTTTTATGTGCCATGACCTTTCAGGACGTAGGCGATCATGGCTCTCCACCTCCATCTATCCCTTGCAACTCTCAACAAGTTCCTTCTCTCTGCTTCCTCTTTCAGACCACATTCTGTCATCCACTTGCTTAAGCCCGTCAGGTATATCACGCGTTGTTTTCCCTTGTCTCTCTTTCCCGTCTATTCGACCCGTGATTATCAGATTCTCCAAGCCGTCTTTCCTATTTATGTAAATGACTGAAGCCGAGTTGCTAGGTCAGGATGGATAACATTGCAGATTATTCTTTGAATTTTTAAAAAATAATCTCGAGATATAAAGCATCATAACAAATCCAGATTTGACAGCAATACAGGAACCATTGTCAGTAAAATTTAAAAAAAAAATCGGTGTGTCTTGATCACGCATCTCCTGAGGACATTTTCTGTAAATTTGCTTCCTATTTTTATGGCTGTTTTCGAATATTAGAAAGTTTTCCGTTAGAAATAAATTGTTTTTGGCGAAAGAAATTGTTTTTTAATAAAAGCGATTTTATAGTTGCACGCTAACTTCTTCGTCTTGAGTCGATCATCTCTTAATCCACCCCAGGTTTATATGAGACAATAAATCCCTCAAAGCGGGAAACTGCCAACTCTTATCTGCTATTGTTAATCTAACAACTACGATTATTTGCCCTAAAAAAACATTCCTTATGTCACTGGCTGGGCACTCGAATCTGATATAGATAAACCTGTATAGTAGAGCGGCCAGTCAATCCCCGTTGTAGGCGCCTGCACTGGCACATTTCTGTTTGCTGAACACCCACAGATCCCACCTGTGGTTTAGACGGTAACTATGCTGAGCCGTCATTAGTTACGGTTTCTGGGGAAAGAGCGCATTATCTGGCGTGAACAACAGTCGGAACAAAGTCAGTACACTCACACCCTCGGTCACGATGACATGCGAGCTCGTGGTGGTACAACCGTCGACTTAGATTTGGCTACCTATTTTCACACACAAGGTTTGGGTCAACTCGTTGCATGCACTTTCCAAAGGTGCCACCTGCTGGGACCGCCTCCTCAGGCCGGTAGCCTTTTTCCTGAAAAGATCGACCACACTGAGATTCAAACAGGGATCTCTCGAAACGTGAACGTTCTAATCTCTCTGAAACACTGACCAATAGACACATAGGAAAAGCCTAACAACTTCGTTTCTTTCGTCCAATTAATCTGTCAGTCGGGTTCAAATTCCTTCCTGGGCTGTTGCGTAAATTTCGCACTATAAACCCAGGAAAGGGAAGAGTCTATCTCTTATTCAGTTATGGAATCTCTAAAACTGAACATTATCAAAGTCTTGGAGAAAGAGTATTTGTAATTCAAGATGACAGAGGAAGTCACGGGAATCTTCTACACTGTCTTCATCATGGTAATTCACAGATGTTAAATAAAAAGAAGCTATGGAGATCCATGGTCGTTTATTCATTTAGATAACTTAACATTGCTTAATAGGAATAATATGTTGGGCTACGGCCTCTCGGATTAAAGTTGAAAAAGGGCAGCACGAATTCGAATTTACTTACATAGATTTTTAAGAAGGTTTTTAAATATTGTTGATGATCTTGAATAACATTTAGTGCTGATTAATAAAATAATGTTATATAACCTATTTCAGTTGTATAACTTTCAGTTTATTGACCAACTTATCTACTCTATTACATATATATATATATATATATATATATATATATATATATATATATATATATATATATGATGAAATGGATTAAGTCCGACAAATATTTAATATGTTTTCTTTTTTATACGTTATTTTAGAGATACAATTTATTTAAGTAAAAGAGCATTGACTTAAAGAAATTGTATCTATAAAATAACGTATATATATATATATATATATATATATATATAAGCGAATATGGAAAATTCATAAACGGCTCCATTTTGTTCATTATCTATTATATATATATATATATATATATATATATATATATATATATATATGAAAAGTGTATATGAATATAAATAAATATATATATGTATAATTATTTATATATTATATGCGCGGTACTTATTAGAAAACGCTCAATATCAGAGATAGAGATAATATATTTGGTTGGATAGACGTGAGTTTGTGACCCTGGGTTTCACGCTTTAGCGATCGTCAGACAAACTAATATATATATATATAACGAATTATATACGTATATAGTGAATTATAAGATGTTATTTTTTTTCAGATTAGATTAGATTATATATCCAAAACCCATATTAAAAGAAAAATTAAATTAAAAATTCACATTGTCATTTGTTCTTGCGCATGTGCAGTTGACTCAACGTAAACATAAACCTGGTACGATGATGTCCCGGAGGACTTTTCACTCTGTCATTTTCCTCATCCCCATATATATATATATATATATATATATATATATATATATATATCAAATGATAAATGAATTGTTATTGTTAGAAAACTTCAACATCACCCGTTCACTTCGGGAGCGGATATATGCACCCCATGGAGGAAGTCGAAATCTTTTATTTTGGATTAATGATGAAAAGGCTGTGGCTTTTGGGATGTAACTAAAGAAACTCACTAATGATTAATTAAAGTGGTCTCCCGGTGAGGCCCCCAATAGATTGCATAAATAATCTCCTGCCGGTATTCTTTCTGGCTCTGAAAGTCAATCATTATGGGAAATAAGAAGTTATTCCATAATAAACTGCACAGACATACACACAGACATATATATATATATATATATATATATATATATATATATATATATATATATATATATTAAGGTGTATTTCGGCATCTAGAATTCGCTCAATCATGTTTTGTTAAATAACTTATCTATAAATATTATTTATTAAATCTTTCAAATTTCCGAATAAATTCTTTTGATTTATAGGTAAACTTATGAGTATTCATAGATGTAAGAAAAGCAATAACAAACAAAAAAATAATAGGGAAATGAAATTAAATTTAAGGAAGGAATAAAGAAAGGAATGAAGGCTGTTTGGCTGAATGAGACGCAGGGGACCGTGTATAAGTCGAGTATTTAGGACCTGATATTTAAAGCAAAAATGTTACTAGGCTCAGCATAAATATGAAAATTAGTTTTAAATTCCGTCCACGAATGGAAAATATAATGACAACAACTATTTCCGTATAAATATACATACATACATACATATATATATATATATATATATATATATATATATATATATATATATAATAAGGCATTAAAAACAAGAAATTTTATATTGTAGGCCATGATAGATTTAAAACAAAACACACACCAGTCGACTGGTTTCGTCCCCTCTCATCAGAACTGTTAACGGGGAACTAAAATTATGGGGAAAAGAAAAAGAAAAAGTCTGTCATGGATGACATGAATGAGTGGACAGGGAGAAAAAAATTATTATAAAAATTATACCAACCAAGATGCTAGAAGCGCAGAACAGCAAGTCCAAGCAAACAATCTCTTTGTTTACAAAGAGCAGGTTGCCTGGACCTGATGTAAAGCGTCTCCAACACCTTAAGATGGAATAATGAGAGCGAACTGGCCAAAACGGAAAACCAGTTCACACTGAAATCCATCGCACAAGTTGGATTCTTTATAAAATGATCCGCAATCGAAGACCCATACTTGTTTCGAATGGTATCGCCCAAAGAAAAA